TTGTCTTTCACTGGCTGCAATATTTTGCATTGTTTATCTGCACTGATGGCTAGACCCCATCTTGCATGGAGACTGGTGTTTGTTATTTTGGGGCATAGATAACCATGATTCTAATTACACTGAAAATACATATAAACTGCACAGGTGAAAAATATGGACCTGGACTTCATTTAAAAAAATAATTAAAAACCACAAACCCTCCCAACCTTACAAAAGGCTAATCAAACTGCTTGTTTCAAAGTGGAAATGGTGAGCTAAAGGATGTGAAATCCTTGGAGTGAAGAAAGTGGTGAGCAAACTTACAGCACAGAGATGGATTTCAGAGGAACAATGAGCTTGGAGAGGAAACTCTAAAAAAATTAGAAGAGGTAACTGGGCTTGGCTGACACAACCAGTTTTCTTTAAACTTGGACACTGGAAAGCAAGCAACTATAAAGAGCAGTCTCAGCTGAGGTGATTAATTTTAATGGTTGTACATAGCCTCAGAGAAAACTGCTCCTACATGCATTTGTCTGATGTCTATTCTTCTTGTTTTGACTGGAGAGGACATGGGTTAGAACAGGCATGGTAAATAAAGTTTAGCATTGCAGCACCATACACAGGTATTTTTAAAGTTTTTCTTCACTCATCAAACACCTTCATGACAAAAGCAAACAAGGAAAAACACGAGATGACATTTGGCAGCACGGGCCCTATTATGATGCAAACCAGCTTTCTTACTCTGCACAGAAAGAACTCACTAGTTTTGAAGGCACACATTTCCCAGCCTTTTTATCTAGCTGACTTCCAAGCCTCAGAGAGATGGTGAGCACCTTTCCTAGAAGCTTCCTGCCCTACAGCCCCCACTCACTGATGTCCATTCTAACCTTCCCATCAGCTCCTTCCCTGTTACCAAATGGCAACACTGAAATAAATTGCTTCACAATAGAAAAAATATATCATAAACAGCAAAGGCTTCACTTATGAGAAAAGAACATTATGATTACATAGAAGTAACCATATAATCTGTTATTAACTATAAGGCTCATAAAACTTCATTAATATCTCAATTATATCACCTCTCCAGATTATATAATAAAACAGCATAATGAGCTTCAGTTTAACTTGACAAGGCTGAATACTGCTCCTCTTTTTAAAAAGTTTTTTATAAAATGATATCCTCTCCTAATACTTTGACTTGCAAGCACTCTAAAGATACCATGTACAACATTAAAAATAAACTTCATTTTCCTACCACTCTTGCTTATCACTACCACAGTATTCACAAGATTTTCTTTTTAAAGACATCAGCTTATTCAAGCGTCTTCTCGTGACAATAGGTGCAATACCATTTGCAACACTTCTAAGGGCTAAATATATATTTTTATATATTTGTATATTTGTTATGGTTCCCCTAACTTTTTAATTAATCTATTCTCAGTTCTGGAACGACATGAAAATATTTCAATCTTATCTTTAATAAGAAGATGCTACAAGGAATGAGCTTGCTTTGCCAATGGGTCATGAAGAGCCCAAACCTTTATTATCTGTCGCACAGTGAAGATACATGCAATTACTGCAACAATTTACTGAAAACACACTTGCTAATACCGTAACTGGCAGCAACACACTGTGCTGGGTGCTGGCCGGTGCCAAGGCAGCTGACAAAAAGCTATGAGTCTAAAAAGGGGAAATGAGAGGATTAAACTATCATTCCTGTTTCCAAGAATAAAGTACTCTAAATGAGCAAATTATTACTTGCTAGGTAATAATTTTCTGGTGTTTGTATGGTAAACTTCTGTAAAGCGAATTGCTGTTGGCATTGCCAGAGTTTACAAAGCAAAGGTACTTGCCAAAAGGCAGTGTCACTGGAAGTATTGTTCAAGTAAACATGAAATGGAAAGTTATTAAGCAAAATGAACAGCTAATTTTGCCACGATCATATCAGGAACATTGAGTATTTTCACCTAAACTTCAGAACCTGAGGTACAAAAGAGCACACAGTGATCACGGGAAATTCAGCAGCACGTAGAACAAAATCCTGGCTATAGTACATGAAGGAATGGGGTTATTTTTGCCAACGGAAAAGAATAACACGTCTCCAAAGCAGACTGTTTTCACTAATGTTGTCAGAGAACTACATCTTTAGTCTAGATGTGCATGAATACATATGCACTTAGTGCTCAAGGTCACACTTCCCTCTTTTCGTTTCTTTTGCAGATTAAACAGGAAAATAGCAAAGTATTCAGCTTAAGTTTTCTTCATCCAAGTAGCTCAATAGTTGGTTTCCTTTCGAAATCCCTTTACCCAGAAAACCACTTGTGTAGTGGTGTGATCGATGGGATCAGTGAACACACATGTGCACAATAAGTGAGCAGAAGGAACTCAGCATTTCCACTGATGTTCCCAATAATACATCATGCAAAAATAAGATTCTGTCCCCAGTTACATATATTTCATAAACACTGTAAACTAGTATTCAAAAAAAAGTTCACAGGTTCATTGGTCACAGATGCGCATGAGATACTTTGTGACCTGAGCTGTTCTTATGCCAAAACCTGCCTACAGGAATCTTTCCAAATAATTTCTGAACACCAAAGTATTGACAAAATTGCCATTAGTAGACCAGAACCAAAAATAATAAATTTGGGCATTTTTTTCTTCTTTTCTATGCTACAGTTCTCAAAATTTAAATTACGTAGAAGTTTTCTGCTACTTTCTCCTCTCCCCTTCTTTCAGAAACTTGAAATGAACTGCCAACAGCCAAGTTTGCTGCTTTATTTTAATTTTCTACTAAGAAGCTAAAAACAATATATTCAAAATTCAGTCCCTATTAAACAGGATTTCAAAACTTACATTTCAAAATTTCTTAAATTTTCACAGTGTGAAACTGTGACATGAAACCCTTGAAAATACTGAAATTTCCCTCCAACAATTAAAGATTTTTTTCAGTATATTCCTACCTAATTTTCTAGCTAACATGGTACTGCTAAAGCAATGAGTGATTTAATTCTGCAATAAATTTCCTTTCACTAACCCTAATTTTTCCTTCCCTATGATACAAGCTGCTTCTTGCAGATGTTTTCAGAAATTAAAAATGTAACACTTAATGACCTCGAAACTCATAATTCTTCAGTCAGCGTGAAAATGTCTTTTTGTCTGAAAACATTACTCACATACAGAACTTTCCTAATTTAACTTCTAATTTATGTTCATATTTTAATTAAACTGGTAACTGTTTGAGCTGCTAGTGAAGAAAGATGATGCATTACAATGGTCTGCATTATTATATATGGCATTATTCAAAAATACAGCAAACAAACCTGTCTGTTAATTTGCAGCATGGTGTACTCCTGAGTACCTTCAAGTACTTTACTTTAAAAAAAGCTAAACCAAATAGTAATGCAGCACAGTATACATACCAAGTGCACAATGATTGATGGATAAAAAAATAAGGGAGAAAATGTTTATTTAAGAACATCTGAAGTATCTGCTGATTTCAGGGCTTCAAGTGTCAGCCCACCCATCTTTAGGAAATCCTCAGCCACTAGATATGACTTTGATGGGCTGAGATGGCTGACACCAGTCCAGGAGACACAGGGAGTGACTGGCAAGGTAGATTGGGGGTTCAGAACTTGTTTTCTTTGCCTTAACTCGTTCAGATGTGGTAATCAAGATACATTCTGTAATTCTGTTTTACAGAGGTTTAGGTAAATGCTAATCTACTAAATTAATGACAACAAAAAAGAACTTTCCCACATACATAATTAGAGCGTCTGAGATTTTTAGGCAGATCTTTAGTTATTTTGAGATCAAAACAATATATATATAGATATACTAATAACAATAATTCCATGTTACAACAAAAGGTATTCACTGTCATAACTGTAGCATACTAAGGGTTGAACAAAAACCATGTTGAAAACTAATGAATTACTAAAGCATACTAATTTTCACCTGAATTCTCAACACCCTTATAAGTCCACGGCACATCAGGAAAATGTCTGCTTGAATGAACTCACTTTTAGAGAATTTAATCTCTTGTAGACATATATGAGGTGAACTTTTGTTCCCCCTCATCCCAGCCCTCTGCTCACAGGGTTACAAAACTAAGGTTTCCACTACCAGCCTCAGTTGTCCACTCCATCCACATTCTAGCATTTTCCAAAGGACTTCTACTGAGTGCAAGAGCATCCATCCAGTTTTTGTAGTCTTTCAACCTGCCCTATTCTTAATATATGTCTGCTCCTCCTGGGAACATCAAATAGTTTATGCATGACATTCAAGAAGGAGATCAAAACAGGACTATGATTCCACCTTGGAAAGTTGTAAGGGCTCCCCTATCTTATGGAGTCCCTCAGGATGTCCAGACCCAGCTGGGGGCAAGAGATTGTCCTGTACTGATCTTTTCTCATTCACAGCAAAGGCACTCATTCCTAACAGATCCCTGTAGTTAGTCATCAGTCACAGACAGATATTCTGCAGGACACATGGTCAATCAGATGTAAGGCTAGGGTTGGGAGTCTATTACTGAATATGATTTTTTAGGATTTTACATTACGTTTCATGCAGACCACTGCAAAATATTTTAAATTAGAGAATTTACCACATTGTATCATGCCACATCTCAAAAGGGAGTTATTAAATAGGGCATTTTTCTCCCCTTCCTATGCTTGCCATCTATTGAGGCAGTTACACTGATTAAATAGTCTGATGTTATGCTCAAAGTCCCATGAATTTCCTGGCTTCCATGAAGTGCCTTTTTAAAACTTCATCATGAAAATAGCACTGGGAGAATTCTAAATGCAAAATACCCTTCAATTTATTTACAGCTAATCAAGTGTTCTTAATATTTATTTTCCTTATTAATTGTTCTCTAGACATTATTTACAACATTTTTTCCTCTGGAGACCCAGTATAACGAGGAAATAGAGATAAATCTTGATCAGACTCTATAGAAAAATCATCTCAAGTTAACAGTGGGCCACGCGTTTTTAGAGGGGATAGAGAGCAGCACTTACCCTGCTGACTTCTTTAGGAGCTGTTTCATCTAAAAGGAAACAAACCAAACAATTAGGCACTCTGGGAAGTTTCCAGACTGAATAAAGAACGAGATAGCAAACTTCAAATGATTTTTGAACACTTGTACAAAACTTTCCTAATATGGTTCAATCAAGTGATTGAAATATCCCAAGGCTGGCTTGCATTTACAATCTTTTAAAAGCTTCTAAAGCTAAAAACCAATCGAAATTAGAATAAAGTATTTAGGAATTCCATCCTGACTTAATAAGAATACAAAATTTCAAACATTTCAGAATTCAGAGGGAAGCTGGCACAGGCCAACTGAACATTAAATTTATATTTCAGTTAGTAAGGGTATTGTTAGTACTGCATAGACTGAGAATCAAAGGCCTTTGCTACCAAATGTATGTCACCAACATCGTACAAGGAAGCTAGTGAGCATACTTATACCCTCTGTTCTAATATCAAAGATGCTAGTCCTGTTGACCTCTTTGGACACGGAAAAAAAGTCTTGTAGCCATAAGACAAGAAGAATATCACTGATGAGATCTGGCATAGCATGTTAAAACAGATTACAAGATTATATATATGCATATATGTATGTGCACACAAACTGTAATGTTTTGTCCTTTCAAATGCAAACAGAATTTCATGCATTTTTGGTAAGCTTAATACATATAAATAAACAGAGGTACAATATCAGAGCTAAAACACTGAGTAGTACTTCTGAAAATGCAGGGAAAGCAGCTATACAGCAAGAACACATCTGCCGCAGGAAGAGTTTCCAACTTTCAGTTTAACCACACCAAAAGTAGCTTAAACACACCTTTACAAACCTCCAGTTGGTTAGTTGTTTCTGAAAATATGAAGAGAACTACTTGTAACCTTTTATTTGATCCTAGGAGTCAAATTACTATACTTCGAAAATGAAAATTAAGTCAGGAAATAGATTTAATCTCACAGAAAATACCATATGATTATATTTGTCAAAGGCTCTTCATATCTTGCCATTTAAGGTGAACTTTTAAACAATAAAGGTAGAAACCCCCCATATTTTCTAGCCAACACATTTAATACACGATTTCTGATGAAAGAATTCTCTATAACAATACATATTTCCCCTCAAAATTGAGTGGTACCAAGGAAAATAATATATTTCACAACTATAAGCGAATGAATATTAGTCTCCTCTTAATCCCAGTCAAATGATATGCCACTAATTTACACATGCAGAACACAGACAAACTTAATTTGATTATTTAAGGCAGTTCTGTTGCTTGCAGTGCAATGTGCAACACATGCTCTGCCACATTCAGTGATGTTATCTTCCTGAACCACACAAATCTACACACCTGTTACAAGAACAGCCAGAGCTACACTCAAAATCCCTCTCTCCGATTACCTGATTTCTGACACTGAGCAACAGGAAATGTGAGCAACAGAAAACAGAGCGATGACATGACACTCTCCTTGGAGTGTACTTTTAGTTTTCAGTACCCAACGGATCAAACATTTCTTCAATCGGTGGTGGCACTTTTCTGTTTAAAGGATGGGGTTTTCTTCCTCACACTTTTGTGGAGTACAAGGGGTGTTAGATTTTGTATGGCTGATTATTAAACCTGAGTAACCAGTCTTTAGCATTCTCAAAATGCTATGAGCTCCACAGTTGAAATACATAATACCAGAAAAATTATTTCATTTTGAATCTGCACACTATGTATTTCATGTGATTCCCTCTATTGACCTTATCATGAACCCTGTGATTCTACAGATCTCTGAAACACATTGAAAAAAAAAAAAAAAAAAAACATTTCATACTTGGACATCTATGCAAGCCTTTTAAAAAATAAAACAAAACAAGAAAACAAAGGCCAATAAGTTTTTGACAATTGTAAAATGCTAAGCCAGAGCAGTCACAAAGAAAACTTTAATGCAAAGAAAGTTTTCAACATCTCAGCCATGATATTTTGAGGCATTTATCATGGACGCAATGATTCTAATGCCCAGTTAATTTTATCACAGAAACACTTCTGCAAAAACAATATCGATTTTCTCCCTGGTCTTACACTGTTCTTTTTTTTCTGTGTAGTCAAATACTGCTGCTGGTACACTAATGTTGTTGATGACAGCAAAGAAATGCTTAGGATTAACTCTGTTTGAGATCCTAGATAGCTCTACAGTCACAACTTCCTAAGGAATGTTTTCCCACACAACAGATGTCCCATTGACCTAATAATTTTTCTTTTAAAAATTTGATTTAGGCTTCAGATAATAAGACACAAGTTGCTTGTAATGCAATTAGACCAGCAGATATATATTTGCTGGGGGTTTTTTTACCTTGAAAAATGTCATATACCTATAGATCAATAGAAATTCCACATCAGTTTGTGTAGATTGGTTAAAGACTGATCTCACCACCCTAAAATAAAGGTTTACTTAATCTCTGCAGTAGAATGGCATCAGTCAGATGAAATTGCTCAGTCTATTTTAATTGCAATTTGCGTCCTTATTTTAGGCATCTTGAATCTGGCAGCTCCACTGCATTTGTAGGATCTTTCAAAGATACCTCAGCTGAGAGTGGGTTTCCTAAAGCAGTAACTAGCACACATATGCAACAGAAATTTCAACTCAAAAATGTTCTTGCTTCTTAACGCACAATCTCATTAATGGCACCTGAACACTGCTCCTATTTTCAACAGTCTGGACTTACCTCACAATTCAGAAGCACTTGTGCTACTTCACAGAAAACTAATTTAGTTTGTTTAAACATAGGCCTAGACATTGAAGGGAAATATTCATTAGATTGATCACTGGTGGCACACTGTGTTTCTTTCCCTGAAGCAGGACAAGAAATGAATTCTAGCTATTTTACATGAACAATAAGATCTACACTGTTACTTTTAAGTTCTCGAAAAAGGATGCTCAGTTCTTGCTCTTAAGTAACATGCATCAGACAATAAATAAGGTCTGAACCAAGACTTTACTGCAAATGGTAAACAGAGAAACATATTGTCTGCCAGCTGGCCTAAAATTTTAATTCACTCCTTCACATATAAGCAAACAGGGCACTACACACAATAGGATTCAGGACACTGCATTTGACTTCACTAGACATACCTAAATCAGGTAGATTTGGAAGCTTATTATTTTCTATGGTCTTAGCCCACACTAAACCGATGAAACAGTTGGAGCAATTTTGCAGGATGGCTTATTCTGGCCAGAAAACTTCCAAAAGGCATCTTTTGAAAGTATCACCAATCCTTGTGAGAACAGAAAAGCATGAGGAAGATCCAGGGTTTTTTTCTTTTTTTCTTTCTTTTCTTCTTTCCAAAATTGCTTAGTACTACAAAACATACCGATGGATGGTAGCTCCACACGTATATATCCATGATCATAAAAATCCTCAACTGTAAAATGTATGCGGCAATTTCAACTAACCTAAGGAGGGCGTTTCCACATCTGCTAAAAGCTCCATAAAATTCTATAGAAGTCTCTCAAGTTTAATATATCTCAGCAAAAATCATGTTGGAATCTGGGCTCTGACCATCAGGAAGAAACTTAATATTTTCCAGCAGTAAATACGCTTTACCAAGAAAGTGTATGATTGTGTTTTATAGTAATTAGCCAATGACTTCATATCCTATTAAACAGAGTTGTTGAATGACAAGAGTGTTAAACTGGTTAGCTCATCTATATTATCAGTCAGCGAGGTGCAATCACCATTGTTTATTCTGGAATATAGCCACAAGACAATGGGCTGAAGAGTGTGTAAAACAGTTTATAATTTTTTCATACTTACCAGTTTACAGCTTTACCTTTATGCCCATATCTACTGCTTTTCTTGTCTGACACACAATTCTGCCTGGCTTTCAGTCCACTAGCTGCACTACAGCTTCTTTAAAACTGATTGCATGTTACGTTAGCATGTTTGGTGAAGGAAGACTCTCATCCAATTTCAATGTATCTAAGAAACAACATCATTGCTACTAATCTGTCCTCTCACTTTTGAATAGAGATGCCCCTTCACTCTTGAATATTTTTCAACTACCAAATTCAAACTTCAAAATTGAAGTTTTATTGTGTTCAGCAGGTGTTTTCAAAGAGAAGGAAAATATTACATCCCTGTTGGCTCAGACATATACCTTAAGCAATTGCATTAAAATCAATAGAATTGCTACAGCATGCATTGGAAAACAGAAATGATTTTTTGTATTAAAAGTCATGCCATTTCTGTAATGTACAGTGATTCAGGGCTGAAAGAGATGATTAAAAGCGAACACAGCATGAAGCAGGTCCTACAAAGCTCCAGCAACGTGGAGAGAAAGACCCACTGGATCTTGTCGACTGCAAGACATTTGGATATTTTAAAAACATGCACACCTTCTGGACCCTCCTGGGCCTCTGGAGTTAGGTTTGTTTATTCCTAGACCATGAATACCTGTTCCCAATTGATAAGATGCCTAGAGAACTTTAAGGAAAGGCACTTCCTCCTGCTTTCTCAACATCTAAATACAGCCCACACTTCACCCTGAGCCCAACAAGGCAAGGTGTTATGAGTAAAAAGTTATCTATTTTTTTTAAGGTTGCAGAGTTAAAACAAGTTGAACCAGTTGCTGTTAAGTTAACTTCATGTTGCAGCCACCTGTTGTTGAGAGTTCTTCTTCAATTACCTGTTAATGGTTGGTGATTAGCCATTGTCCCCCTGATGCTTGCCAGGGAGTGACACCAGACCCCACAGGTAGCAGGGGAAGGGGAGTTACATCAGAGCTAGTATGCAGATGAGAATGCATTTCACCAAATTTTGCAATTTTCCAGGAAAAAAAACCCTAAAAACAACGAGCCAACATAGAATTAAGAGACCTAAGTGATGTCTAAAGATGAGGAACTTAATCCAGTATCTGCTAAGATCCTTTTTACTTCTCACCCTAACCTAAAGAGATGTTAACTAGAGAGAGGACCTGAAATGTTAGACCAGAAAAGCGGAATCTCCTAATCTCCCGTGAGGACGAAAGCCCAGCTCTGCCTGCA